TCCTCCGAAGGCTCGGGGGGGTAATGTAGGGTTTAGGGTTTAGGGTTCAGGGTTCAGGGTTTAGGGTTCAGGGTTCAGGGTTTAGGGTTTAGGGTTTAGGGTTTAGGGTTTAGGGTGTAATGTTGGGGCCTTGATAGTTTGAATACGGTTTTGGGCTCCTGCATGCTGCATAGTATACTTTATAGCAGGAGCCCTAACGATAATTTTGGTAACTATTTAGGCTTCTATGTTAGGGGTGTTGAAGGCTTCTAGGGCCTTCTAGGCTGAAATAGGGTTTAGGGGTTGATTGACGTTTGGGGCTTGAGGGGTTGTATAGGGGTTAGAGATCTCGGCGTGTACAATACAACTCACAGGCGTCTACGAGCCTGTGCCAGGGAGATACTGTACTATACTGCTGCCGGGGTTAGGGCCCACTGGTTTTTTTCGGTGTTCTATAGAGCTTTATAGGATTTCATAGCTTTTTGGGGCTTTGGGGTTCGGGGATTCGGCTCTAACGGCTTGAGCTCGAAGGCTGCAGGCCCAAACCCTAAACCCTAAACCCTAAACCCTAATCCCTAAACCGAGTTGTATCTGTATATAGGTTTAAGGATTCCCGGATCCGAGAGCTTAGCAAGCTTCCCTTTGTTTAGGGTTTAGGGTTTAGGGTCTAGGGTTTAGGGTTTAGGGTTTTCTTGGATTTAGAATCTGATGCGCCCAGACTATAGATCTTGCGTAGCTACTTTCAGTCTGTTGAGGCTCCAGTAGCATTGCCCCTAATATAGGGGCCTGAATCAGAAGTGATACCCTTCCTGATGGTTTCGTGCTATATCCTCGTCTTATCGAATCACTCGCCAGGTCTGATTCTAAATGCCATAATAAGCCCTGAACCCCCTCTTCCCAAATCTTATTCTAACACCCTATAACTTGAAAAAACTCTTCGACTCTTTAAGGCCCCTCCAAGCACCGTCCTGCACGCCAATGAGAAGCAAGGCCGTGTAGCCGTTCCGCTTGGCGCGGGGGATGAGGACCTGGTGCGGGGCAGCAGGGAATGAGGGCTTGGGGGGTTGAGGGTTTAGGGGGGTTTAGGGTTTAGGGTTTAGGGTTTAGGGTTTAGGGGTTTAGGGTATGCGGGCTTGGGGTCTACATGCGGGTTTCCGAAAATAGGGGACCCCAATATAGCACGCTAAATAGTAGGATCCTTCTTATACTGACCTCTGAATCAGGTACCCCCTATTTTCGGAAACTCCCATATGGGTTTGTGGTGTTGACGTAGTTTCGGGTTGGGGGGGCCGAACTGGCGGGCCAAGATCCCGCTCTGGCGCAGCGCGATATCGGCCCAAGCGCCGGCTGCATACTTCACATGTCATGTGAAACACACACACACACACACACATGCTGAGACATGCGAGGATGCGTCTCCCAATACCTCATGGCCGGTTGGACCTTCGCGGGAAGGTGCTTGTTCAGGATGTTAGCTGAAACGCTCCATCGTAACTACGTACCAAGCATGCTGGTAAGTAACGAATGTTTAGGAGCCGTCCTGAACCCGGTTATACCATTTTAAACTCTGGCAAACCGCACTAGCTTGAGCAATACGAAGACCAGAAAGGAACGACATAGAGACGCCCGCAAAAACCTTAAACCTATCTCACGCCCTCAAGCCCTAAACTAAAAACCTTCAACCGTACACACTGCAGTCCTGTCAAAGATCCCTTCTCGTATTTTTTGGTAGACACCTGACAGGAACCACTGCAAGGACCTTTGAGGCCGGAAACCTTGAAACCCTAAAACCCCAAACCCGAAAAACACCTAAATCCTAAAACCTCCCCAAAAACACCTAAAGCCCTTAAGCCTCAAAGCCGAAAAGCACCTAAATCCTGAACCCCAAAGAGCACCTAATGCCCTAAAGCCTCAAACCCTCCAACCTAAAACCCCAAAAGCACCTAAAGCCCTAAAGCCTCAAACTCTCCAACCTAAAACCCCAAAAGCACCTAAAGCCCTAAAGCCTCAAACCCTCCAACCTAAAACCCCAAAAGCACCTAAAGCCCTAAAACCTCAAACCCTCCAACCTAAAACCCCAAAAGCACCTAATGCCCGTAAGCCTCAAGCCCTCTTCTCCCTAAACCCTAAACCCTAAACCCTAAACCCTAAACCCTAAACCGTGGCTCACCTCTGCAGCCTGCTTGAAGTTCTTGTGGCCGGTGAGTCCCAGGTGGCACTCCTTGGAGCTCAAATTCTGAGACCCTACTTGGAGGATCATGGGACTTAGTAAGTAAGGTTATAAGTCCCCTAATTGGGGCTATAAGTATAGTTACCTTAGCTATAACCCTACTTACTAAGTCCCATGATCCTTTAAGTAGACCCTGAAGGTTTAGAGTTTAGGCTTTAGGATTTAGGGAATTTAGGGTTTAGGGTTTAGGGTTTAGGGTTTAGGATTTAGGGTTTAGGGTTTAGGGTTTAGGGCCCCTAAACCGTAGAGAAACCCAGCGATTCAAGTTTGGCTTGCTGGTCGGAAAGCGGGATCTGATACCCTGCATAACGAACACTTTATTGGGTAGTTCTCGAAATGAGGGTCCCTTTATTTTTAGGTCCCAAGTATAGTACGGCACCCTTATAATAAAACGGACCCCAAAAGAAACCCTAATTTAGAGAACTACACTTATACACCCCGTACGAGCCCTTGACAAAACGCTTACAACCCCCCTTCAGGAAACCCGTTATACAAGTTGCAGTATAAAAAACATGATGAAACCGCTTGGAAGCACTTAGCAAGCTCTGTAAAAGCCCAAGTTTGCAACACAGAACAAACCCTAAACCCTCAATCCTAAAATCCTATATAAACCCTAAACCCTACGAAAGACTTTGCAACATATCACCCTAAACCCTAAACCCTAAACCCCTAAACCCTCAAACTAGCATTAACAAAAAAGACCCCTTCGAGCTCTAAAGTCCCAAAGCCCACCCCACCCCCCCCGAACCTGGAAAGCCGCACCTCTGATTTTCTGAAGCCACAATATGGGTGGCCCTCATACTTAGAGTTTAGGGTTAGGTTTTAGGGCTTTTTGGGGGTTTAGGGCTTAGGGTTAAGTTTAGGGCTTTTTGGGAAATATGGAGGCCTTCATACTTGGAGTTCAGGGTTAAGTTTAAGATTTTTGGGGGCTTATTATAAATTATGTCCAAGCGTAAAACACCGAGTCCTTCAACGTCCCAACAAAAAACGAACACCTACACCTTCCTCCCCTTGATGAAAAGCTAGAACCCTCACTGTGCAAAGCCCTTCCCTGGTAAAACCCTCAACCCTAAACCCTAAACCCTAAAGCCCTAAACCCTCTAGGAATAAATTATACACCAAAAGCCCCTGAAACCCTAAACTCTAATGGATCCCCCGAACCCAAATAACCCAAAAGCCCCCCTGAACCCGTAAACTCTAATGGATCTAAGCCCGAAACCCTAAACCCGTAAACCCTAAACTCTAAACCCCTAAACCCTTTAGATTCTAAACCCTGAACCCTAAACCCCTAAACCCTAAACCCCAAACCCTAAAGCCCCTAAACTCCAATGGATCCCTCGAGCCGTAGGTTGCTGTGCCCGAGCAGCGTAGATGCGCTCGCCGGGAACTTTCGCAGGTCTCTTCGAAGGTTTCGGGCTCGGCACCTTTAGTGCTGTGGGGATTTAGGGTTTAGGCTTAAGGGTTTAGTGCTTTGGGGTTTTATGGTTTAGGGTTTAGGGTTTAGTGTTTTGGGGTTTTATGGTTTAGGGTTTAAGGGTTTCAGGGGTTTGGGGGTTTAGGGTTTAGGGTTCTAGGGCTTCGGGAGGTTTAGGGGTTTAGGGTAGAGGGCCTAGTATGGGGTGAAGCTGGGTCTACGAAAGGTTATAGGGGGTTTCTTAGGATTCTATCAAGGCTTACGGTTACCTGGGCTATGTCTCAGAGGATTTTACAACGGCCTTTAAAGCATGGAGTAGGACTTGAAAGGAGTTGTTGCAGGCTGCTTTTCGAAACTGGGCGCCAGATTCAAGGTGTTGCTTTAGAGTTTGGGGTTTAGGGTTTAGGGGTTTAGGGGTTTAAAGGTTTAGGAGTTGTAGGGTAATGTAGACCCCTGATCAAAAAATATCCTTTTTTCGGGTCCTTGATATTCGAATCCTTGCTCTCCTAGACTCGACTAGCTGAAAGGATGTAACCCGAAGCCCCAAATCCTAAACCAATCCTAAACCCGCTAGACCCTCAACCCTATCCAGGGTCCACAGCACTGAGGTTCAGGGTTCGCAAGGTTCCTTGACGACTCCAAGTATACAAATCGTACCTGCTTCGGGGTTTAACGTCTGCAAAACCATAAACCCTAAGCCCTAAACCCTAAACCATTGCCGCCGCATCTCATAAGAGGTTTGGAGGTGCCAGGTGGAGGCTTTTGGATTGGAGGCTCTGGGCTTATGGATTGGGATCTTGCAGTGTACTTTGGAGGCTCATGGGGAGTTGTTATAAGTAGGATAACTACATATAGTTGTTATCCCATATAAGGGGACGTATCGGGCATATTGTAGGGGCCTATATACGTACTCAGAAATAAGGTTTCGATACCATCATGATATGGCGACTCTGTCAGGATATGTTGACTCGTGATTCTGGCCCCGGCACCATCGTTCCACGCGGGGGTTTCCTGAAAGCTTTCCGCGGGGGTCCAAGTACCTAATACCCAAAGGCTCCATGTACCCACATAGTAGATACTTAAGCCTTAAAGGGGTCCCTATATAGGTACTTTAAGGCCTAAGTATCTACTATATGGGCACATGGAGCCTTCGGGATAATCAGAGACTCTCTGAAATGCTAACAGGGCAAACCTACATTCCTAAACCCAAGAATGCAGTCACTGAGACCTTTTGGGCCCTTGAAAGTTTAGGGTTTAGGGTTTAGGGTTAAAGGCTTCCGTGCATCCAAGGATCTGGATGCACAACGGCATCGAACATGCGGATATCACCTGAAGGCTTAGCTTTAGGACCTAACTGAGGGTTTGATATTAAGGTTTTGGATTTGCGGTGTTCACTTCGCGGTTTAGAGCTTGTGACTTTCGGTTGCTATATTTTACGGTGTTTATGTGTGAGCAGTCTTTTCGCCAGCCGCATCTGTAGCTGGAACTGTTGACGACTCATGTCGACGCCACAAGAAGTATCCATAGACACGATTTGTGCTAGGGTAACCATGAAGGCTGATGGAACATAATTTCGTGTGTTACCTTGAACTACCACGTCCTACTTTTTGGTAGGGTCGCTATATTAGGGTATTTGGTTCATTATGCGAACCTACAAAAATCTTATGGCAGTTTAACGCATAAGCTTCTGCGTTATTGTGAAAGTGCTTACCCTTAGCATCAAAACAGCCCAAAAGCCTTATATAATAGGGTCTTTGGGCCCAGAAGCCTTAAAATATGAGTCCTTTGAGGGTAAGAGTTATAGAGGCTTAAAGCCCTTATCACACCCAACAGACTCCTACAAATGTTAAAAGCCAGGAAGCTGGTATACGTCATCCGCGTCGCCGCCGACGGGATGTACCAGCTCGGGTTCTTGTTCGGCCACTCAACGTACACCTCCATGAGGCTTTATTGGGTGTAGTACTGGCAGCGTTTATACTGAAGAATTTTGTGTTTTATCTGAAGAATTTTGTGTTTTATCTGAAGAATTTTGTGTTTTATCGCCTTAACATGAAGCCTAAACCCTGAACCGTAAACACCAAAACCGGCTGAGGGTGGTGTATGTCCTGCAAATGATACGGCTCGGGCCCAGGGCACGCGAAACCCGAATCTGCAGATTTAGGGTTTAGGGTTTAGGGTTTAGGGTTTAGGGTTTAGGGTTTAGGGTTTAGGGTTTAGGGGCTCCCTCACGACGTCCTTGAATAACCTAAACCCCCAGCCGCGAAAGTCCTAAATAATAAACTAGAGCCTACCTAGAGCAACCTATGTATATACCGTTACAGAAGGAGCGGACCCTTGAAAGGATGTTTTCCTTATGTAAATACCTTTGTTACTTCCGGCTTTCTTGACGAAGAAATACCCTCTGATAGTTTAGGACTCACCCGGCAATGGCAAGCTTCGGGCCTTCAGGGGAAATGTAACGGGCCTCGCTGGCTCTACCATAGGCTTTTCCGAGTATACAGGGCTGCATAACATAATTGTAGCCGGATGAAGGGGATGCAATAACGAAATACAACGGAGCCATATCGAAACAACAATTACAGCCCGACCCTGAACCCCAACCCAGTACACCCCTGAACTTCGAAAGCCCTGAACTTAAACCCCAATTTCATCCTGCCATTGCTTCTGCTCAGTATGAACAATGTTACTCAGCCAGCGGCCTCAGCATGATGTTCGATCTGAGTCTTGACGCTTAAAGCATCAGGAGCTATGACAACACTGATTCCGGGGAGAAAGTCACAGCTCACAGCTTGGTTAGAACATGTTAAAAATGTCGCCCAAACGCAATTTACCAACCCTATATAAGCCGTGGACGGCGAACCCCAAAATCACTGGATCCAAAACCCGCTTAAACACTACACCAAAGCCCCCAGGTCCGTTGAATCAGAACCAGACTCCGGCCTTGTATTTCTGACCCTTCTGCAGCTTGGCAGCCTGCCACATGCCAGATTGAGCAGTCTCGCAAAATCACAATATGGGTGGTTGTCAAAATTATGGTCCCTTTTTGGGTCCCTAATATAGTACGGCACCTAATATTTAGGGTACCCAAAAAGGGACCCTAATTTTGACAACCACCCATATGAACAGGATGGCGGTAGCAAGCAGCCTGACCCGCAAAAGCTCGAAACTCCGGTATGAACCTGAGGGTCCATGTCCATGCCCTGTGGCTCCAAGTATACAAATCCCTAAGGGTCCATGTACACAAATAGTATATACTTTGGCCTTAATGTAGTCCCTATATAGATACTTTGGGGCCAATGTATATACTATTTGGGTACATGGACCCTTAGGGAATAGTATCTACTTCGGGGTCTAAAGTCTATAAATAGTACCTACTTTGGGCTCTTTGGAGCGCCAGGGATGTGCCGAGCGCATAGACGTTGGGTTAAAGGGCCTGGATAGGAACCCTTTGAAGCCTAAGTATATACGACGACCCAGCTATATGTAAGCATTAAAAAACCCTCTTCCAAACACAACCCTTGCAAAAGCCAGCAAAACCCCAAAATAAACCTTTACCGGAACACGTACACCTTAAACGCTCAATACAAGCTCTCCCAGGGACCCTTTAGGGCAAGCAAGGACGGCACGGCCTGGTCGCGGGGGACTTCGCAGAACCAGACATCGCTGCCGGGCTCCTATCAATGAAAACGGCTTCGGGTTTAAAGTTTCAAAGTTTGGGGTCTAGAGGGTTTAAACGGTTTAGGACCTCAAGGGCTTCCGGACAAGGGTTTAAGGTATTTTGGTATTGAGAGCGACAAGGCGCTTCTGAAACAGCGCGGTGTAGGCCTTCGAATGTCGGAGCATATCTGAATAGACGCGGCGTTGATGATCATGATAACGGTCGTGGTGATGGAGACGACGAGGGTGCTACTGGCACTCGTGATGCCGAAAGACGATGATAACAGCGACGATGATGACCACGGGGATCATCATGACGATGTTGGTGATGACCATTCTCACGATGACCTTGTTGATGAAGATGTGGATGATGATGAAATCACACACATTACAGCGACGCCAGACCAGCGGTCAGTTCCTTTTCCAGCAGTTAAGATCAGATTCACCATTGGGAAACTGTCGTGGTACAGCTCCAAGTAATCCTGCTTCCATTTGATTTTGAAGGTGTGCTGCTCAGTTTTCATGAACCCTATCTTCCCGAAGGAATCGGCATCCTTTTCGTCGTCTCCCAACCGAAATTGCACAGCACCCTGACTGCCGAAGGGTTTCTTGAAGATCATGCATGTGCTGTTCTCGGGTGCACTCTGATACCTCGCACGTCGCAAGGCCATGACGAAGTAGTGACAGCCTAAAGCCTCGGGAAGCAAGAAACTCTGCACTCTTTGCCCGAAAACCGGAAAATTAATGCGGCAGCAGGGCATGACTTAGCGGCCTTAATAATTAGCATAGGTCTTCGGGGGTCATTATAGTCTGAATCCGAAAAAGCACTGCAAGATTCAGGCTTGGATACACTGCATAAAGAAAGACGTATAAAGAACGAAACCTAAACCCTAAACCCTAACCCCTAACATGACAAGGATCCCTGGGATCTAAGTAATACTACCTGGTTACTACCTATACTATCTCCCTGTAGGGCTCCGGAAAGAAAGTTGCAATCCTGCGCTCGGATGAGGAATGCCCCAAAGAGGATACACCAAAGATCGGAGCAATTGGTGACATCTTGATTGTGCCCCGAAGGGCTCAAAACCCTGTTCTGCTCGTTAGGGCCCCTCTGTTGAGATGTATTCATGTATTTATGTAGGTGTCTGTGTGTGTGTATTTTACGACTCCACACATACACCTACCTATATATATATATATATATACACACACATATTCATATATATATATATATATACATACACACAACTAGACATAACTGTATGTAGTTCTGGACAATTATAGATAGCTATAAACCATATATATATATATATGAGCCGATAATCGTATGCAACTATATGAGACTGTACATAGAATTATATATGTAGTTCTATATATATATATATATATATGTAAATATATATATATATATATATATATATGCATGTATATATAGATATATACATGTATGTATATGTATGTGTATATATGTATATATACACCTAGATATATACACAAATACCATCTCAGCTCCTTTATCCACTAACCCCAAATCCTGAAGCCCGAATCTCTAAAACCCCGATGGACCCCCAACCCCTAAAGCCCCAAAGTTCGAACCCCAAAGCCCAAAGCACGGCCTGTGTCAAGGGCGTGGCCTGCTTATTCCAGCCTCGGCCGGGACGGAAGCTTGACAGTGACAGGATCCTAAGGTGTAGGGATGTTTTGGTTTGGGGTTTCGGGTTTATCGGGTTTAGACTTTAGGGTCGAGGGTTTAGGGTTTAGGGTTGAGGGTTCAGGGTTTTGGGTTTAGGGCTTAGGGTTCCGGTGAGTTAGTCGTCGTCGTGGTGGTTTTAGCTGTGGCAGCAGCGGCGTAGTGCTCCAGGAAAGTTGGAACATCCGGCGACCCTAACCTTAAACCCCTAGGCTTTAAACCAAGGTCTCAAAGTCGGTAATTAAAAAATACGCTGTCATGGAACCCTGATTAACCCATATAGTAACCCGTGAAGGCACCCTATTAAACCCTGCCTTCTTGGGTGCTCGAGATCATAGGTTTCTTAGACCTCCCCCCCGCCCGCCACAAGAAAAAAGAAGAGATTGCTTTCGAGCTACTTTGAGCCCAGCAGTGACTCGTGCACCCAGAAGCATCAAAAAAGCGTAAAGAACGTCAATTTGTGCCCTTGTGTATTTCTCGTTTTCCATGTGCCGAAATCCCTAAGGCTCCATGTACCCATATAGTAGATACTTAGGCCTTATAAAGTACCTATATAGGGACCCCTTTAAGGCTTAAGTATCTACTATATGGACATGGAGCCTTTGGGAATGCCTGTACTCAAGATCGCTCCAAGGCTTCGGCCTGAGCAAGGCTCACGAAGCCTCACAATGAGCCCGATACACCCTACGAGCCCACAACGCACGTACGGGTTTAGAGTTTAGGGTTTAGGGTTTAGGGTTAAAGGAACCCCACCTAAACCAGACAGAACCCTGAAAGGAGTAAATGAAGCCTTGAAAGAGCACGCCTTGAAAGAACACCCTTCCAGGACGGCAAAAGAGCGTTTGGTTTCTGACCGTAACCCTTCCACATAACAATCCATATGCAGACGCCTGTGTCTCAGCCTTACAGTGACCTCCTCACGTGCACGCCATATGAACCTTTAACCCTTCGTATAGACAAAAAATATCTAG